TATCTGGAAGCTGCATCAGGTCACACGTTTTATTTCTTACGCCTAAGGAATGGGTGGCACTATATAACTACATGTTTCTATTTTCTACAGTTGACACCCACATGCAGTACCTGAGTCCCTGTCCAAATGCTGAATTTTTGTCATGAACTCCTAACTGCCAGATTGTTGCTTCTCAAGAGAGGTGGAAGTAGCCTGGAGCTAGATTTAGAGTCTCTGCACTCTAGCCCATGCTGTGCCTAATTTGTGATATGACTTGATTTTAAATTAAATTAGACAGTTGAAATAGATACTTTCTCGAGATTTTGCAACTCTAGAAATTCATAGCTTTAAAATCAAGAAATGCAAATCTAACCCTCCACTTACCCTCAACTTAAAGCTAAGGCCTGAAACTCAAATGTCTACAGGGGTCAGTTTGGAAACTAAATGAATGACAAGCAGGTGGAGTTCACTGTGGCTTGGAAAACACATCAATTTCAACCTGTGGGGAAACTTCAGCTCTAGACAATGCCTCTGATAAGGGAGTGAGGGCCATGGTGGCTAGATGCTGAAAGTTGGCAAGCTTTTTACAAAAGAAGGTGAAATGTATTATTTTTACATAGTATCTTATTTATTATATGGTAATTATATGGCAACTTATTTTGAATATATATATATATATATATAGCAATGCAATATTTTTTAAAAACAGAAAAAAATGTGCCATGTGGATGTGGTTTTTATGCTTCTAATTTGTCCCTGACTTAAAGCATCATTATGGCCATGTGTTTTGTTTGTTTGTTTGTTTTTGTCTAGATTTCAAATCACCAGAGTTTTTGTCCTTATTCATTGTCTTGTATATGCTGAAGTAATGTGCTGATTTTGAACAAATATTCTAGAATTTGCATGTGGATATTAGTTTTGTCCTCTTCCATTTAGTTGCTTTATAATAATAATTATGATTAACATCTGTTGAACATTTATATGGCCCAGAAACTGTTCCAAGTATGTATATATTTTTTTATTTAAAATTTGTTTATGTTTATTTATTTTTGAGAGAGACAGAGACAGAATGCTAGTGGGTTGGGGCAGAGAGAGAGGGAGGCACAGAATCTGAAGCAGGCTCCAGAGTCTGAGCTGTCAGCACAGAGCCTGACATGGGGCTCGAACTCATGAGCTGTGAGATCATGACCTGAGCCGAAGTCAGACTTTCAACCGACTGAGCCACCCAGGCACCCCCTAAGTATGTATATTTTTATTTCATCTTCAGCAAAACCATGTTAGGTAAACATTATCTTATTATTCAGTGTTTCAGTTAATCTTTGTTCTTTAACAAAGTACCCCAAAATTTAATGACTTAAAACAACAACAATTTATCATTTTTAATGATTCTGTGAACTGGTAATCTGGATGATTTCTTCTGCCCATGCCACCTGGGATTATTCATGTGGTCTGCCATCAGCTGATGGCTCAGCTGAGGCTGAAGGGTCCAAGATAGCCTCGCTCATTTATCTAGCTATTGGCTCTCAGCTAGGGTACCACATGTCTTCTTCACATGAACTCTCGTCCTTCAGTATGCTACACAGGTCATCTTTATAGCATGGTGTTCTGATTTCAAGAAGGTGAAAATAAGAGCTGCAAAGCCTCTTCACACCTAAGCCCAGAACTTGCATATGTTGCATCCATTGTATTCTGTTGGTCTAAGCAATTCATAAAGCTAGCCCAGATTTATTGTGGAGGGGGAGATTACACAAGGGCATGCATTTAGGAAGGCATATTCCATCTGAGGCCGTTTTGTAACAATCTACCATATACAGATACCTAAACTGAGGCATAGAAGATCTGAATAACTCACCTTAGATCAGACCATTTGTAAATAGCAGAATTAGGTTTTGAACCTTCTAGGCCTCTCATTTTTACTTCAGGCCAAAAATTGTATTTCCAGTAACATTGCTCTTTATCCAGTGTAACTTCCTTGAAGGGTAACATTTATTTATAGATATAAGTTTTTGTATCCTTGTTTTAAAAATTGCCCTGTAATTATTCTTGGAATGCCATTTACTTAAAAAGCTGCCCACAGGGAGTTTTAAACAACCACAATTAATATGTAATGTTCTGCACTTTGGTTTAAATGCCAAAAAAGATAGAAAATATGGATTCACATTTAGACCTTTGTTTTTGCCTTTATAGATAGAAAAGGTGCATTAAGTGATGTAGAATTGATTGCATCCATTCATTCCATGTAGAACAAGGTAAGGAAGGGGAAAAATATGGTAGCTAATATATCCTCTATTCATAAAGAAAAAAAGATAAACTATAACTGTAGATAATTCTGAGAAACACACTATAAAAATGTTCTTAGCTTGTCTGTAATGGGGTTAGGTATGCATCTGAGACTTGAATGCATTATTAGAAATGATTTCTCCAAGCAAATAAAGATTTCATATCCTAGAAAATTAAGCTGTTGACCAGAATGTCAGATTAAACAGATGAAATATCATTTCTTAACATTCTAGGAAAAGTATTGGGATACTTAATGCAAATCAGAAGGACTGTGCATTGGTAAGGATGACTGTTGTCAAACTACAAAATTAAATATACAACACTTTATTAAGTGCTCAAAAGTTGATCTAAGTTTTCTTTATCAGCTGTTAAAAAATAACTAGTTTTGGGGTGTCTGGGTGGCTCAGTCGGTGGAGCATCCGACTTTGGTCAGGTCATGATCTCACAGCTCTTTAGCTCAAACCCCGCGTCAGGCTCTGTGTTGACAGCTCTGAGCCTGGAGCCTGCTTTGGTTTCTGTGTGTCCCTCTCTCTCTCTCTGCCCTCCCCCACTCGGGCTCTCTCTCTCTCTCAAAAGTAAATATTAAAAAAATTTTTTTTAAATAACTAGTTTCACTTTGGTCATCATTATTTTCAAATTGCTTCCTTTCTCCAAATATTTTCACATATTTTTGTGTGATTCTATTTAGATTCATATACAAGGGAACAAACCAAAGAGAGAGTTACAGTGAAATGGGCTTAATAGGAGCAAGAAAAAGTAGAAAACTTCTGGAGCTATGTGGAATTTTCAAGATCGGTGAGATATCAGTTTGCAATTTGAGTCAAAGACACAATATTTATTCACTTCTTGGAAATAAGAAAGTTTGTGCTTCTAGGATAAAATATGGGAAAATTAAGAGCTTATGGATTCTCTTACCAGCGTTAGTAACAACAGTTTTGAGCTTGTCCAATAACTTTTGTTTACCCCAGTTTTTGTAATGGGTATAATGCATGAGCATCCCTTAGGGACAGAGGAGGATATTTTCGTTCTTCCATAGATTTAATATAGGCTCAAGTGACAGGTAAAGAACACTATAGGCCACATCATGGTGTTGCTCTGTTCCTAGATCTGTGTCAGGTCTGTATTGGACAGGAATGGGTGGCAGTCAGATGGAGGTGAGGGGAGTGGCAATGGAATGGCTGAAACTGGAATTGTGGCTGGGTCCCCAGTATGGCCTAGTTACCCTTAACTAGGTCATTTTCCCTTATACTGTCTTATGAGTCTACTTCCTATGGAAAAGCCCAGATGCTTCTAGCCTATTAACATAACATAACTGAGACAGATGAATTTTCTTATAATAGCCAAAGCTAAACTGAACACCCATTTTTTTTTTCTTGGAAACCATGATTCTGTGTGGATGTACTATTAGAGAAAACCTAAATGGACAAATACTTACACTCAATTTAAGAGACATGCTCACATATTGTTTTTTGTTGGTCATTTTTACTTTACTTTATTTATTTATTTTTTAATGGTTTCAGGAGTAGAACTTAGTGATTCATCACTTAAATGTAACACCCAGTGCTCATCCCAACAAGTGCCCTCCTTACTGCCTATCACCCATTTAGCCCCGTCCACCCACCAGCACCTCTCCAGCAGCCTTCATTTTATTCTCTGTATTTAAGAGTCTCTTACGGTTTTCCTCTTTCACTCTTTTTATCTTATTTTTGCTTCTCTTTCCCTGTGTTCATCTGTTTTATTTCTTAAATTCCACATATGAGTGAAACCATATGATATTTATCTTTCTCTGACTGACTTATTTCACTTAGCAAATATATTCTAGTTCCATCCATGTTGTTGTAAATGGCAAGATTTCATTCTTTTTGATTGCCGTGTAATATATGTACCATACCTTCTTTATCCATTTGTCAGCCAATGGACCTTTCCATACTTTGGCAATTATCAACAGTCCTGCTATGAACATTGGGGTGCATGTGCCCCTTTGAATCAGCATTTTTGTATCCTTTGGATAAATACCTAATAGTGCAATTGCTGGGTCATAGGGTAGTTCTATTTTTAATTTTTTGAGGAACCTCCACACTGTTTTCTGGAGTGGCTGCATCAGTTTGCATTCCCACCAGCAGTGCAAAAGAGATCTTCTTTCTCCACATCCTCGCCAACATCTGTTGTTGCCTGAGTTGTTAATGTTAGCCATTCTGAAAGGTGTGAGGTGGTATGTCATTGTGGTTTTGATTTGTATCTCCCTGATGATGAATGTTGTCAAGCATCTTTTCATGTGTCTGTTAGCCATCTGGATGTCTTCTTTGGGAAAGTGTGTGTTCATGTTTTGTGCCCATTTCTTCACTGGATTATATGTTTTTTGGGTGTTGAGTTTGATAAATTATTCATAGATTTTGGATATTAACCTAAAAAAAATTTTTTTTAACACTTATTTATTTTTGAGACAGAGAGAGAGAGAGCATGAACAGGGGAGGATCAGAGAAAGGGAGACACAGAATCCGAAACAGGCTCCAGGCTCCGACCTGTCAGCACAGAGCCCGACGTGGGGCTCAAACCCACGGACCACGAGATGATGACCTGAGCCAAGTCCGATGCTTAACCGACTGAGCCACCAAGGCGCCCTTTGGATATTAACTCTTTATCTGATATGTCAATTGCAAATATATTCTCCCATTCTATCGGTTGCCTTTATTTTTGTTGACTGTTTCCTTCGCTGTGCAGAAGCTTTTTATCTTGATGAGGTCCCAATAGTTCACTTTTACTTTTGTTTCCTTTGCCTCAGGATGCTCAAGAATTTTGAGGGAAACTGGTGTAGATGCTTCAACAATTAAAGAATATCATGAAAACACCTTGAAACTAGATATTAATTATTCATTTATTCAACAAATACTAATTAAACAATTATTACTTTTGGATATTATAGTTAACATTGGAGATAGAGTCTTGCACAAAATAGGACATAGTCTGTGTTCATGGAGCTTGTATATGAGATGCTGCTAGCTTCAAAAGGAGAAACCTAACCTTTGCCAACATCAGTTGAGTGAAAACCATCACCAGGATCTAGAGAACACCGTCTCCACATAATGTGATTCTAAAGTACACAATAATAAATGCAGCAGTATATATACAGAGAATACTTTTGTTTTATGTAACAGGGACATGCACTACAGTTTATTACAGCCTGCATGCAAATAGTTTTTGCAGAGATATTTTAAAGGGCCAGATTTAGGAGTAAAATAGAAAAGCAGCTGTATTTATTTGCATATATTTACATGAACACTGCACATTCTTCATTGGAAATTAGAATTTTAAAAAGTTACCTCAAAAATGTAATTTCAAAGTTTTCTTTTCTCAGTACCTTCATATAAACCTATTTATGGTTTTTCAAGTATCCATATGAGAGGTTTGGAATACATATTTAGAAGCATTTTTTTTCACTAACCACATTAAAAAGATAAAACATTTACCTTTCATAATGTCATAGATGTGCACATCTGCTGAAATTTGAGCCCAGGGAAAGGGATAGCCAGGGCAATGACAGAGTGGCTAGAGCTGGGAAATGAAGAAAGACAAAATTAGTGAGTCCCACATCCTCTTCTCCTCTAATTCAGAGCCAGAGTTGTGGTTCCACCTGTAAGCCCCTTCATATCAAGCAAGATTGGCAAGACTTCCATATATTTTAAGAGAGTTCAGGCTTTCACTGAAATTTCATTTCTATGTCTGTTTTCCAGTCATGGTTGTTGTAATAATTAACAGCAATAATAATAATAGCTATTACATGTTATTTCCTTGATGGCTGCCAGTGACTTGTTAAATGCCTTTGTCATTTTATTTAATTGATAGGGAAAAAACCTATGAGGTAGGTGGTATAATTATTTCATTTTCAGGTAGAGAAACTGACATTCACAGAAGTGACATGAACAAAGACACAGGGTTAATAAGTCGGCTAGCCAAGATTCAAATTAGATCTGTCTGATTCCAAACATTGGCATGTTTACCTCTACTTACCTTGTTAAGAAAAACCATAAGGCAATAATTAGAATAATCATGCATATGAAAAAAGCAAACGCAAACCATTTAGATAGGAGTAGAGATGGCGTTAATACATATGTAAAGTATCTATATAAAAATGATTATACATTCTTTATATAAATCATGCACACAGAAATATAGATAGCAAAACAGATTTTCTTTTAATTCTCACCCTCTGTATTGAAAGCAGCTAAAAAAAACAAAAACCCAAAACACAGCAAAAGCTCAGTGATCAGCCAAGAAGTACTGGATAGGTAAATAGGTCTGGAATATTAAATCATCCTGTCAGCCCCTTTCACATTGGCTGTTCAATATCATGATGAAGCATTCCTGTGTTTAAACTAATAGTTTCAAAACTTCTTGGTACCAACCTGATTAATTCATAAAAGAATCATAAAATCTACACGTTAAAAAAAGAGGGTGAAAATAAAAACTGCAAACTCTGGACGATTGCATTACAACTTGATTTTTAGCTCTTCAAATAATTTTACTTAGAAAATGACAGTTTTCATAATTCAGGAACTGGTTGATTTGCTTGCACGTTATGCTTAAGCTTACCAAAAATATGTGCTTAAATTCTTAAAAAAATGAACACAAATCACCAGATTGAGAAGAGGCCTGACTGTCCTAAAAGACCAAACCAAAACAAACAAAAAAAGAGGAAAAAAAAAACCCCACTGCTTTTACATCTCCTTCCAGTGCTCCAAAACCTACGCTTACCTTCTCTATCAATTCAGAAACTTGACTCCAAGTTCCTCTACAGTCTGATTTCACTTTACATGCCTCACTTTATTTCCCTTCAGTCAAGCCAGCATCTTAACTCTGAAGCTGTGTCTGTATACACATCTAATCCCTGCTTCACATCATTGCTTATGTTATAACACACAATGTGTCTGTTTATATGCCATGTCCTTTCTCCTCCTCTTTACCTACTGCACATTCTGTTTAAGCCTTACCTGCCTCACAAGACACATTTTGAAGAGTTCTATTACCCTTATAACTTACTACATTTAGAATCATTACCACAAAGCATATTGTATTGAATGTGTGTGTTAGAGAGAGAGAGAGAGAGAGAGAGAGAGAGAGAGAGAGTGTGTGTGTGTGCGTGCGCGCACTTTTTATTTGGAGGGCACTTTGGCAATATAAAAGTGAAAATATGCAAATCCTTTAATCCCCAGTAATACACACACATATAGATAAATTCTTAACTGTTTGTATTTACATATGTACATGTAATAATATACAATATATGATACATGCATATTCATACATGCAAAAACTTCGAAAATAACCTTAAGAGTTACTTACCTCGTTTGGAGACTGGATAAATGTTAACTTCCGTATAGGGAGGTAGGTATATAGATGAAGTTGGAAAATATTAATAACTGATATTTACTATAAACACAATGACAACTTCTTTCTGTTTTTTTCTTCAGTTCTCACAAAAACTTTACTATAGTAAGTGTTATTATCATGCCCTTTTACAGATGAAATGTGGATATATGTTTACATCCGCATACGTGAATTATGAAGGACACACCACATGTTAAGAGTGGTTGCCCATGGGGAGTGTGATTAATATTGAGGGAGACTTGGTGTTCACTATGTGCCCTTCTATACTGGTTTTTAAAAATATACTTATATTTTTAAATGCATAATAATAACAGAGGAAAACATCTGTTGAGTTTTTCCTTCTAGCTGGACTGTGAACCCTTTTTAGGAAGGAGCCCTGCTGTATCAAATTGTATTGATATATTCAGTGATGTTCTGCTGGAGCACATATTTTCATTGCAGACAAAATAAAAACACAGATGCAGTTTTCATAAATATAAATTCTTAGAAACAGCAAACTCTGCTTTTTTATTCGGGGATATGATATTTTACTTATTTCATATTTGCAGTGTCATAAAATAAATCAAATGCTTTTTAACAACCATAAAGGAACTTCTGAGAATTTGTTCAAGATAGATACTTTGTGAGAATATAATATCCTTTGAAGTGATTCTGAAGTGAATTGTTCAACTTTTTTTTTAAGAATTTGAAAAGCATTATAATATACATTTATATGTTTAAACTTGTAGAAATTTTTACCTACTTATACCTGTATATTAAAGTATCAATTAGTTGCTTGTATAAGAGCCATTTAGAAAACCAAAACTCATGTAAAGTAATTCAGTATAATAATAATAATAATCTACTATGGAATATTAAGGTGTTGGAAGGCCTAGGGAACCGCCATGGGAAGACAAGATTACCTGCCTTAGGAAGTTACCACTATTTCTAAGTTCAGGGTTCAAAAGCAGGAGCTCAGGAGCTGGGGACACTAAGCTGAAGCTAGAACCTTGGATTCCAGCTGTCTCGGAAGAACTAGAGCCACGGAGAATACCAGCTGGCAGAGATGATACCAAAGTAGAAAGAGAAGGAAATACCTTGGTTTAGCTTTTCTGCCTGCCAACTCTGTGCCAGTGCCTCTCATTGGCTGAAATGGGCCAGGAGTCAATTTGCAAGGGATCTTGGGAAATGTAGTTTACAGAGGTCAGCCCGCCCCCAGTATGCAAAAGAGAGAGGAGAATGATTTGGGGAAAAAACATGCAAATAAACTACATTGTTTTGAAAACTTACCATGATACACAGTAGCACCTCCCACTTCTCCTTTCCTCTTAGCGCCTTTCTTACAGAGGCACTTTTCCTCTTTTAGCCGTTTCTTCTGTAGTTTTATTCATAGTTCTAAATAAAAGTCTGCATTGCTACGTGGTAATTTTTAAAGTTGATGTATTATATATTGGTTGTCGATGATGGTGGATAAAGATTTAGTTCTCTTATTTGCTCCTCCCTCATTCTTGCAGTAGAATTGTTGCAATAGAATTATAGCATTTTAAAATGTAAATCAGCAAGCAGTGTTCACAACCTCATATGATGTACATATTGGTCACTGCTAAACCAAGTATCATGTTAACTTTTCTCATCTTGGATAAGTATTTGTTTGGAAGAATAATCACTGTTCTTTTACTTCATAATTCCTCGTATTTTAAAATATTTTTTCTCATAGTCTTAATTCTTCTCTATTACCCTAAAGTATCATCTACCTTTTTTTTTAAAGTTTATTTATTTATTTTGAGAGAGACAGGAACAGCGTGAGTAGGGAAGGGTCAGAAAGAGAGACAGAATCCCAAGCAGGCTCCACACTGTCAGCGCAGAGCCCTACACGGGGCACAAACTCATGAAACCTTGAGATCATGACCTGAGCCCAAACGGAGAGTCAGATGCTTAACCAGCTGAACCACCCAGGCGCCCCTCATCTACCTTTCTAGTTTTTATTTCATTCTGTTATGTTTTTTAGGAGAATTTCCTTTTGGAGCCTCCTTTCTCTTGCTCTGATCTGGTGACTGCTCTATAATTTAGCCTTGTGCTATCATCTGGGGCTTTGTGTCAGTAATTTCTTGCTTTGGACGCACTTTTCCTCTTTCTTATTACTTTGTTTTTCTGTGGTGTATTTGACAGGAATTCTCTTGCTCTCACTTGCTTCTCACTGTCTTCTCTTTTCTCCTATTTTCCATGTTAATAAATTCCCTTTCTCCTCATTCATTTTCTTTTTCTCTATTTCAGGCATTTGTATTTCATAAGCACTTAATCTGTATCAAGCACTTAATCTGCATCCAACACTGAGTTAGCAAATAGGAACCATGCTATTTATTGGCCACTTCATAGCACACTAAATTTATTTCAAATAATTCTTTGGTGTAGGTCACTGAAATAAGCCAATGTTCCAAATCTCTTTCACATTTGATCCAATTATCTTTTACAGTCGCTACTGCATATTTTCTCACAGGTATGGATAAATTGCTTTATATGGGTAATATTTTGAATTTTGGAGCACTTAAAAATTTTCTTAATTTATAAAAATACCTGTTATGAGCCTCAGTCCTCATAAGAACCTATTCTGAAATTACACATATTTGACAAACAAACAGTGTCATTCTAAGTATCTTCCTGAAGAACAGATGTATTCACTGGTAGAGTCAGGAAACCCGGAAATCTTCTTTCTCACCTGTATCCTATAGGCTCCTTATCTGTGGTTTCGCTTTCCGCAGGTTCTGTTACCAGAGGTCAACCTTGGTTGGAAGTAGCAGACCCAGTTTCTGACAAATCATCAGGTGAATAGTAGCCTAGGGCTGAATCACACGTTGGAGTCCTACACCTTACTTCCTCTCCTCAGGTCAGCATTTAATCATCTCACAGCATCACAGGAAAAAGGTGAGTATGAGACAATGCTGGATAATATTTTGAGAGTGATACCACATTCACACAACTTTTATCATAGTATATTGTTATAATTGTTGTATTTTATTCTTGTTGTTAATCTCTTACTGTGCCTTACCTATAAATTAAACTTTCTCATAGATATGTATGTACAGGAAAAAACAGTGTACATAGGGTTTGGTACTGTCTGTGGTTTCAGGCATCCCTTGGGGGTCTGGGAATGTATCCTCTGAGGTAAGTGGGAGGGGGGGGATGACTAGAATACTATTTGACTATGTGCTCCATGAACTAGTATAAGGTTAACCAAATACGAGGTGTCGCTCCTTGGCTGTAACAGTCATTAAGGAAATGATTGAACCAACCTTTATTTATATCCAGTTTCTCTACTTCTTTATCTGGTTTCAGTCTGAGGGCTGGATGTGGCAAAACACAGCATGTTTGAATTGTATGGGAGACTTTTTTTTTTCCGGATGATTTCAGAGTAGTGTGTGTGCATGTGTGCATGTTCTAGTGCAGCCAAGGGGGCAAGGGTGTTGAGGGTGGAGGTGTTGTTGAGTTGCCAGATGAGCCCATGGAATTTCCTTACCTAAAAATGGTTTAAGATTAGAATATTTCCCTGCTTAAGGAGTTAAGTTTTTCTTCATTAATGTTAGAGAAACCAATTTATATTAAATAATTTCAGATATACACACCCATCTTAATACTTAATCTGTTTTAGTATTTCTGACATATAGGTCTTCAGAATAAATTTGTGGGATCACATGTTCATTAAAATGATTTCTTTTACTCGTTAATTTTTATTGTTCTTTAAAGAGCCAAATTAACAATAAAATTAACAGGATAACACAATACCATTTGCGAGGCAACTCAGTACATTAGAAATAGCACTCAACTGAAGATTAAGCAATTAGACTCAAGTCCCATGTCTGTTACTCATTTGTTTTTTGGTCCTTGCAAGACACTTGCTTTCTGCTATGTTATTTATCACCCACAAGAGGAGGTGAATGAATGAAGTAGAGTCTAAAGATCCCCAAAAGTAATTCTCTGATTTCTAATTTTTTTAAAATTAGGTTTATAAGTGCTAGACCAGTTCAGAGACATTCATGGACATAACTATCAAACACCCATTAATACACACAGACACACACAGATACACATTTGAATGATTTTATAGTTTCAGGTAAGTGAAAAGTGTAGATGATTATTTGTTACCATATATATTTTATTTTATATACAAATATTATATCTTTTTTACTGTCTCTATTTCTGTCTGTCTCTCTATCTCTTTCTCTCTCTCTTTGTCCATACACAGAATGGCCAAACAAATTAGCCAAAGTACAGCCTTTTGAATTCTAACAAATAGATAAGGGGTTAAATCTCCCTTGCTCCATTGCCCTAAGAAAAGGGGTTCTATATAGAGAGAGCTATTATTCCTAGCTTTGCTTAGGATGAAAAAAATAGTACTTTATGTTTTTAAGTAAATGAATGTGGAATAAATGTATATAAAGGTCCCTGGTGTATTTATTGCTGTATGTCAGATGAACTGAAAACTTTTCAACATACGGAAGAATTACTCAAGATCTCATTTAACTAAAGGTTTCTGTTTTATTTCCTTTGTGTACGTGTTTGGGTATACGATTGTGTGTGTGTGTGTGTGTGTGTGTGTGTGTGTGTGTATTAATTTAATAATACATTTAATGTATTCTGTATTATATAATTACATACATAGTTGTATATACATCAAATATTTAATATAAGATTTATTTATTTTTACTTTAAAAAATTATTCTCTTGCAAGTCATGCAGTTATTGCCTTTGTAGAAGTTGATATAATGTACTTTGTTACACTGACAAATACCATCTTTCATGATAGGGCTAACAGTACAGCCACATCAAAAGATAAAATAAGAACATTTAGTTGGTATAATGATCTGCATAATATGAAACCAACATTTTTATTCTGAAGTGGCCATGCTTTATTATGCAGGCTTTAATTTGACATAAACATTTTTTAACACTCTTACAAGCAAGAATTAAAGATAGGAAAAGGGGTCAAAAAGGACATAAATTAGTATCAGTGCCCCTAATTTGGTCTACTCCCAGTGGTTCATGTGGAATAATCAGAGGTAAAAAACAAAACAAAAACAAAAA